TTGTGGGGTCATTTGACCCCATATGACCCCATGTGGGTCCGCCAGTGTTGTAATTCCATAAGAGGAGGTGGAAGAAGGCTGGTTGAAATCTCGGGTTAGACGAAATCTCCCTTGTGTTTGGATTCTAAAATTGTATACAATAGTTGAAGCAGTAGACTTTATTTGCAGCTTGTTCTGTTATTCTCATTCTTGTTCTATGTAGTTAATGTGTTTGATATAATGCCTGATTACTCTTGATGATTATGATATTCATTTTCTTTCTTAAAGATTTTTTAAGAAGTGACAGTGAATATAGAAAATGACTAAATAAATATCTTGCTTCCACACAGCAAAAACTGTGGATCGATTTTCTAAATTGTATTAAGATATGGAACCGAAGAAATACATGGGGAAAAAGCTATCTTCCCGATTGCACGTGTTTGCTTGTGTGTGTTCTGCTTTGAAAATAGTTGTTCGGAAATGACTAAGAAAGCACAGTTAAAACGAGAATTTCGTAGACTTGATTTCCCCTTCATTTTTTCATGATAATAATATGTGATTTTATTTAACAAGAGAATGAATGCGGGAAAGGATATAACCTGTTTTCTCTTCCCTTCCATTATGTAAATAAAGGTAAGCAGGACTAAGGTTCAGAAAAGAGCATTAGTAGAGTTTTGTACAAGCTTGCAACTTTCTTGAATGAGCAAGGTGTAAACTAGTGTGCTGCTTGTTGATTTTCATCCTTTAGTACCTTGCTGTAACAAATTAATTTTCAGTTTGTCTATATATTACCAGACTTGATTTAGAATTTCCTTTCTGGAAGATGTAATTTAGAAGTGAATATACCCAAACATACAGAAGTCTGAAAAACTATGAAGAACTTGTCAGAGTATTGCATCTGAAATTAGCACACTCCCCTTGATCTCATTCTAGGATTCAATCCTCGTCTAAGGATTCCAGGACAAGGATTATTTTCTAAATTCCAAATTGGGTGAATAGTTTAGAATGTGTATACTAGATTTTATTTAATCATGAAAACAAGGAGGAATGAAGTCCTTGGAAAGTGTTTACAGATTCCTGGTAAGAATAGATATTGACCCTTATAATGAAATTCCAAAACCATGCTAATTTTGTCTTATATCATGCTGCTAATGGAACTTACAATGAACCTTGAGGTTACCTAAATGAAGTCATTGTTAAAGTCTAGGTTTTCCTTGGAACAGATATCATGCAATATGCTACATAAAATCATAGAGCTATAACTTAATTTGACTTCAATCCCTTGGCACAGGAATCGTAGTGGCCTTTTCATTTTTGTTGTGTGAATGACATGATAAACTCTACTAGATTTTCTAACGAGTTCCATGAAGAACCTCCTTTCTGTACGGAAAGCTCAAGTTCTTGTTTCATTTTGAGTGCTCTCTGTCTCAGTTCTTTGCCTACTTTATCCCTCATGAGTGTCCTAATGGTTTTCTCAATACCCTTTCTTTCTGGGTCCTCCAATTCTATGGCTATTTTCCATACATTAGTGAGGTACCTCGTATTCACCACTTGGTCTGCGAAATATGGTCTGCATATCATCGGCACTCCTTCACACATACTTTCCAAAGTTGAATTCCAACCAGAATGGCTCCAGAAAACTCCCACGGCTGGATGTGCCAAAACCTTCTTCTGGGGTGCCCACTTCACTATGCAGCCGCTTTCTCGAGTTAATTCTTCATACCCTTCTGGTAAGCATTCAATCCATTCCGACCCACTAACTGAAGAGGGTCGGACCACCCATAAGAAAGGTTGGTCACTGTTGGCAAGTCCCCATGCCATTTCAATAAGCTCTTTCTTGTCCATTATAGCTAAGCTGCCTATGCTTATATAAATGACCGAGTTAGGAGCTTGTTTATCGAGCCAGGTGATGACACTGGTGTCCTCTGCTATCAAGCTAGTATTGAATTTTGGAGCCATTTTGTGAAAAGGACCTATTGGGAAGATTGGAACCTTGTAATGCCGCTGAAGCTCCACTAAGGATTCATGCTCGAGCATGTCCACAGAGTTCCAAATGATTGCCGAAGAAGATCTTATACTGGCATAACTTGTAAAGAACTCAAGTAAAAATTTTGGAATCTCAGCAGTAACTGGAAAGGGTAGGTCTTTAAACCTGAGAAGAGGATGTGTCGGAATTGCATCCTGCAGTTGAGACTCTGTAATTTCATTGTTAGAAATAATGTAATCAGGAAATGCTCAAATTCACACCACGTGCATATTTATTACGCAGTATTGGACAAGATTTTAGCTTATCTTCATTAATATTGTCGAGTGCTAAAATATTGGATTGAGCTAGGAGCACAATCTTCTACATTTTGTACTGTCATATAGTGAATCAAAGCAATGATGCATGCCAAAATTCTAGAAGAGGAATGATCAGTGAAGGAACATATCATTCATTTATTCTCTGTTCATTAACTATTACCTTTGGGTCCTGCTTGATAGAATCTCAAATCCGTGATCAAGGCATGCTAAGAAATTCTCCAATAAAGAAATTATTATTTGTCTCCTGCTAAAGACAAAATTTAAATAAATGAAAGTTCCCCTCTCTAACAGTTCGAGCTTTAAGAGGGTATTTCAACATACTATTAAAGCAGGCAACCTGGGTTCAAGTATTACCATCACCCATTTATGTTAATTGTGCGTCAGCAGTCACGCCTTTGATGAAAATGAATCTGAAGTGAATCGTACCCTCTAAATAGTGCAGTTATATCATCTATGAGTTATAGTATTGGTTTCAGAATTTCTGTCTTGTTTATAATTTCTAACACCGTCTATGTTAAACTTGCTAAATGGTTTTTTGTTAGTCTTTGCAGCAAGCAATTGTTAGCAATACCTGGCAAGGGAATTAGATTGTCAGCTTGAAGCTGAAGGATGACATGATCAGATCGCAGATAAGCAGCACTATTAGGACGTAATGCAACAGTAGGCAGCTCTAGACGAGTAGCCACTTCATCAACAAAGTGCATGAGAGTATCATACACGACACAAGCTACCTGACCGTGTTGCTCCTGTGTTTCCAGCATTTCAACCATGTATTCATGAAACCGCTCTTTGGAATTCTTGTTTATAGCCAATATTTCATTCAACGAGTTCATGTAAGAAGACTCGCAACCAGATAAGCTATCAGGTAGCAGTAAAAAGTTGAATTCCGGGTGGTTTGAAGGGTTCGGAGAATTGAATTCAGTATGAGCGACGGTGATGGAGAATCCCCGGGAGCTAAGAATAGCCCCCAGCTGAAACATTGGTGTTATGTGCCCCTGGTGAGGAAATGGTACTAGCACGACCTGAGGCTTTCGTCCCTCTATTGTTCCCATTGCGCTCTCTAAAATTCTCTCTCTCAAAGTCGTTGATTGATTGGATGAACTGCATCAGTTTATGTCTTAAATGTAATTAGGAAACCTGGGATTCATCAATCGATGCCATGGAATTTGTAGTTGTTAAAGAAAAAACAATTGTGAACTCACAAAGATATTTGGAACTATATTGTGTGGTTCTTGTTAAGTCTATCGGCCAAGGGATTTAGTGCAAAAGACGACATATATGGTCAAACAATGTTTGTTTTCTCTGGTTGTTTTCACCAAACAGTAGGCATCTTCAGGCAAATCTTCCTAAACAGCTGAGATGCCAAAATACAGTCTCAAACCAAGTTTTCTATGCATTATTAGGTAGTATTGTTTGGTATTAACATTTGTGGTTCCATTTTAAAAGGTACAACTTTATATGTTAGTCTATATTTTCATCTTCATTCGTTGTGGATTTATCTTTTAACATGACCTCGGAAGATGATGACTCGTTTGAATACATCAATCTCTTTAAATTTGCGAGCTTAATTTTTTAGTCTTAGTCGAATCGAATTGTTCGTTAAATTTTAAGGGTCTCAAATATCATATTAAAATTAGAGGTTCTATTTTAAAAAGTTAACATTATTAAGAGAAGTAGGATAAATCTTTGTATGCTAGTCTATATTTTTATCTTTATTCGATGTGTGATTTATTTTTTGATATGGCCTATAAAATGATGACTCGTTTGGGCATACGAATCTTGAAGTAATAGAGATGCTCGGTTGAATTCAAAATATAATAGTATTTCACGTTCTTGTATCTTCTCAGAATTTTCAGTGTTTAGTTTCTTTTCAAAAAATAATAAAAAATTAAATTATGACATTAATTAATTGTGTTGAAAAGAAAAATTTAATGGGACAATTTTGTACAGCATGTAGACCATTTAGCAATTAGGTACACAAAAGAAACTGCAGAAGCACGAGATGCGTCTGCCGAATTCAGGCAGAGATCTCAATTTCCAAACGCTATCGACGTAAAAAGAGTCATTCGTTCATGGAAAAGTCAAGCACAAAAAGATCAAACTGATGTTGGATACCATTAAAATTAAAATTTATTTTTCTCTTTTTTTGTTAATCACATATTTTTCAATAAAATAATATTACACATAATTTCAAAACATTTTCTTCTGTTTTAACCACAAATTATAAAAAAAAAAACTATTCTAATCATTAAAATTTCAAATAATGAGTACCAAACGAGAGCCAACTTTGTTATAAGCACAAGAGCACAAATCAACGGTGCTATGTTCAATGAAAATCAACACGGCATAAAGATGATTAGTTCAATACTAATGTGCTTCAAAAATCACATCCTTGCACGACATGATCTACTTAGAATCGAAAATTTAATATAGAACAATTTTCGTATAATCATTTGAAAATTTACGAGACGTAGTAGTCTATGTTCTCCAAATAGGGTTTCGTTACTTTGTGCATAAACTTAGATGTGTCAAAATGAGCGGACTGATTTGAACAGGTCAATCCAATCTTGAACCCGGCACTGTCAGTACTATTATTGGAATGGCCCGTGACGGTTAGCAGGCCAAGTCATAATAGACCCGTGAAAAATTATATCTCGTGGCCCACCCGTTTTCCCCAAAAATATCAGATGGTTCACAGGACTAGATTTAACGTTTATTGACCCTTGAACTAGCCCGCTTGAATTACGGACCAGTTTATGGGTTGTTTTTATCGGGCTGAACTTGGCCCGTTCTGTTTGACATTACAACATAAACCCCTCATAACTTCTTTATGTTAACGCTACTGATTTGACCGTCAAGTTCAAACCAATTATGCATACGTGACAGTTAAGTTAAAATTTTGAATCTTTTTAACTGTTAAGTCATTTCAAATTCATGAAGTTGAATGAAACTGCTATATCATGTCAAAGACCTTCAAAACTTTCTCATGTTTTTTCAAAATCAAAATGAATATACAATCGATTTGATAAAAAGAAAATGCAATTTTTGACATAATTTCATGAGGTCTTTATTTCCGTTTTAAGTTGCCCGCTAAACTTTATTCCTTTTTAAAATTAATTTTTAAGAACCCTTTTCTTTATATTACTTGTATTAAGGCCATCTAATTCTATTCGATTGAAAATGAAGTCCTGCAATTTACATAAAACCTTCCTAAAAATTAAGTAACCCTAGGCGTTTTTTGTAAACCCTTCTAAGTTTCTATTGTCCTCAAATGTCATGTTCTTAAGGAATGAACCCTAAATAATAACAATAACAACAAAAAATTATATCGTTACTAAATACAACATATAGAGAATAACAATAAAAATTAAATATTAAGCATGCTGCAAAATAGATTTTCTTTAGGGAAGTTTCTATATTTCGCGGAACTATGCTCCATGAACTTTGATTTGATGAAATTTGAGCTCAATTTCACGCTGCCATGTCGAACACCAATCAATCAAATGGCTCAACCCACAAATATGGTATTCACTTATGGTTGCTTCTTACTCTCACCCACAAATGATAAGAAATTTGGTGGTTATTTGCAGCCACAAAGGAGGAGAAAACAATGGAGGAACAAAGTTAAACTCAAGTCATGAAGGAGGAGGATAATAGAACGACAACCATTGTTTTTCTCTTGAAAATTCACACATGGTCACAGTAAGCAAATTGGAGGCATATATAAAGATAGATTAGATACCAACTCTTATACGAGTCCTTCAATAAGTGACTTTCAGCCATGAGCAACCTTAATTAATTAAACTGCTTTGAATGACCCAAGTTATTTTTGGTCGAGCCTATAAGTTGATGTGTTGATAATAATTTCACTCATCGAGTGAGGCCTGTGAAATTTAATTCAAATCGTTCAACATCATTGTCCAAGATTTATTGGGTATCAAAATCCAATAAATCTTCACCTTGATACCCAATGAACTTGCAAGGAAACAACATCATGTTTATAATTGTCTAATAGGCAATCAAATAAAATTGGAATTCACAAAACTTACCTGTGTCTTGGATCTAAAACACATACCCGCTCCATGTACTCATCAGGCGTTAAGGTCAAAAAAATCCAAGTATAAAAAAATAATCACGGTAATCAATCAAGAACACATAAAATATCTGCTGAAGATATAACATAGGACGACATACAAATTTTCCAAACTTGTTCAACAAGCAAAGAAGATCAGAGTAACACCAAGTTGATCAAGTAAATTGACCAACATATACAACCAATGCATAAATGACCCATGAAAAGATATTACCACAATTATCATATCCCATTTCGTGTAGCTCATGTCTCTAGAACACACATATCCTCTCATCGCGAACCATATTCACTAGATTGGTCACTTCTCATGCCTAACTGGTAAATCGCACCAGATCATAATTTTATGGGCTGTTCCTCTATCACTAACTTGCCTCTTTCAACCAAAGTGGATAATGGGTCTCAACCTAATATAGGTGATAGAAGTGTCACTCTCTCACTCCACCCGATCATGATTCTAGCAGATAGAGGATTCCAAACATTTTTTCAGATCATCTCTCTTGATCAAAATATCACTCTCTACATCCCAGTACATACCACCAATTCACCATCAGGCATCTATACGCTACATTACCAAAAGACATACTGCTAATGCACCTACTAAAGTGGGAATACATATAGTACCAATCCTCACAAAAGTAATCTCAACGACTATGCATAAACAGCAATATGATCTCTCTCAAATTCATGAAAAAATCATATCAACCATATTGAGATGTAACATAAAAACAATGCACCGATTCAATCAATCATTCATGTAAAAGAGATTTCTCACAGATTCAAAAGCGATAATTAGGTTTCCTATCAATAAACCTCACTTGGGTTATAACTAGAACTAATAGCAACATTCACCTCACTTCTCATTTTTTCTTTCTGCTTACCTTTTTTCTTAGGACAGTTCTTTGTAAAATGTTCAGTCTTACGATAGTTATAACATCGACTACCACTTGTACTGGAGTTATACTTGTCCCAACTTTTGTCCTTCTTTTTACCACCCTCATCACTCAAGTCAATACTGTCTTGATTTCTCATATGACTATTTTGTTTAAAGTGTGTTCTACTCCTCATCCTGTGTACCACACCACTCAACTTATACTCTTTTTCAGTTCTAATCTCTATATCTTTACTCCCAGGCGAATCATTGACAATTTCAAGTGTTAAAGTGTCCTTACCATCGGGCATGAAATTAAGCAAAATAGTGGCATGATAGGTTTAAGATATAGTTTCATCATAATTAACAATATCTTGCACAAGTTTGTTAAATACGTCCAAATTGTCATCAAGATTCTTTGAAAGATCCATTTTAAAATTGAAAATTTTTTTGAGTAAATAAAGTTTATTTGGAGTAGACTTAAGTGAATATAAGTTATCTAAAATTTTCCAAAGTTCTGCTTTTCTCAGAATAACATCTTACAAGTAATTAAAGTGTAAGCAAGTTTATCATATTCTTTTTTTTTTTTTTGACAAATCAACAGAAAATTTGCCATCTATAGATTTTGAAATTTTTTGCTGAACCAAAATTTCCATCATTTTTATTGCCGAATTGAAAAGTCCAAATCAAAATGTGTAGACATTTTGGATATAGATTGACCAAAAAAACTCAAATACACAATTAGAGCATACAAAGTAGACATATAGTCACAATATACACCGTTCTAAATTTTCAGGATTTTGTGATATTCGCGATCTCAGATCAAATGAATGGTCAAATGGGCAAAGTTATGATAGAATAATCAATGCAACACATTTGAATATCAACAAAAAATTTCTCACACAATGTATGTCTCATACCTTGACTTAATAGGCAATTCTATCACAAAATCAATGAACAACTTTTACCAATTAAATTCAACACTTCAAATTGGGAATTAATTCTTAAATTCTAGTAAAATCAATGGTTACCTTACAGAATGATCCTAATTCTAATCGACAACCTACACGATGGCCTGTTAGTACTAAAAT